AAAGGAAAAGGGGAGGATGGGATAGGGAAGGGGGGATTGGGGGGTAATTAGGTTCGGTCTGAGGAAGGAGACCGACAGGTCTAATTCCTCAGACCAAGAGCCTCTTCACCACAACAAGGAGCCCCCCTTGAAGAGGATGTTTTTCGATAGTGACAGGAATAGTATCGATATGTGAAAAAAATCACGAGCCTGGGTGGCATTCTGGACAGTGATGATGCGGGTACCGCTCTTGAAAGCGTGAAAGGAAATATCTCTACCAACATGGCGTAGGAGCGCCTTGCCAATACTATGGTCAGAGTGATAGGCAATAGAGGAAGTCGGTCGCAAAGTAAAGAATTTAGTCCATTGTGCATTCTGAAACCGAGCGTGGAAAGGGAGAGCACGATGTGTCTGTCTTTTCTGAGTAGAATGAGAAGGTGGCAAATAAGTATCATCAGGCAATTGTCGTTGGCGTTTAGGAGTGGGACTGGAGTTGGTCCAACGTGGGATGGGCTGGCGATTCGAAAATTGCCGCACCGTACAGGGAGAGGCCGGAAGCATAGTCAAAGGAGAATGGAGATCAGACAAATCAAAGGAGTCAGTCGAAACCCCGGCACCTGAAGCGGGTGATAAAACAGCACCAGCAGAGGTACAGGGGCCTTAAGAGTGTCCGAAGAGTGGTCAAAAGACGAAGCGGAGTCAGAACGGGGCGAGGTAACAAGAAGGGGCCCGGGGGTAGCGGGGTCATGGATTGGGTCCTCCATGGTTAGGTTACTTAAAGTGGGATCGGGGAGGGATAGTTCCTGGGAGGAATGAAAGGGCCAGAAATCTCCCTCCGTGCCCAAGAGAACCTCAGCACCGCAAGTAGCGCAGATGCGGCATGGAACCCATGCAATACCCTACCCTTTATGCCGGTAAACCAGTAATCCGGGATAGCAACCTCACATCTGCTGAGCTACCTCAGTGGACAAAAGAGGGCGGCCGGATATCCGCCACAAAGCATATCTCCTTTGGCCACCACCCCCGGAATCCGAAAGGCAGCCTCCAGAGATACACCCGTCGCCTGAAAGACACCCAAAGCCACCACCCAGGAGACCGGAGAGGGATTGAGGCATCCCCAGGCAATCCAGATTACACGGCAAACTACACCACCGCCAAGAACCTCAACGGAATGGGGTGGACCCCGGTACCCTTTCCCCTACCCAGGAACTAGCGCACCTGTGGGAAAAATCCCAAAACCCAAAAAGAGGAAGGGCAAAAGGGAGGGGTGGGGAGGAGGAAGAGGAAAGGAAAAAGGGAGGATGGGATAGGGAAGGGGGAATTGGGGGGGTAACTAGGTTCGGTCTGAGGAAGGAGACCAACAGGTCTAATTCCTCAGACCAAGAGCCTCTTCACCACACCCCTTAAAGAGGACAGAAATCATTAACAGTGCTTGACAAGGGGGCCGAGCCTGATACAAAGGTTGTCTTAAGGAAAGTCCCAAGATCAATAGCAATTGGTATTAAAGCAATACACACCTTGGCAAATTACTGGCACTATCATTAACTCTTGTCTAATTTACTTTTAGTATACAAACATTTTCAAAAAGCAAGTAAAGTACTCTTCAAATTCTGCAGTCCACATTAATTCATTCTGTGCCAGCAGCTGTAAGTGCCTATGGCTGCACCCTGTATAGTCCTTGTGGCTTAGCGCTTCTTTTTGATTATAATAATATGGCTGCACAACCGTATGATCAATTCAGTCAAGTAAATCACAGACAAGTAAAACTACGCATTTTTTCAATCCACTTCATTTCCATAGTTCAGTGTCATTAAGCGCTGAACACAAAAGAATAGTACATCACTGGCCACAAGGCATGACAAAATCAGGCAAAAGGTGAAATATCCCAAGTTGTAGCTACACTGAGAGTAAAAGGTAGATGGGATACAAGGAGAATAGAAGCATCAGGGAAGAGAGAGGTGAAGGTTTATAAACTAAAAGAGGAGGCAGTTAGGGTAAGATATAAACAGCTATTGGAGGATAGATGGGCTAATGAGAGCATAGGCAATGGGGTCGAAGAGGTATGGGGTAGGTTTTTAAAAATGTAGTGTTAGAGTGTTCAGCAGAAGTTTGTGGTTACAGGAAAGTGGGTGCAGGAGGAAGAGGAGCGATTGGTGGAATGATGATGTAAAGAGATTTAGTAAGGGAGAAAAAGTTAGCATATGAAAGTTTTTACAAAGTAGAAGTGATGCAAGGGGGGAAAGAGTATAGGGAGAAAAAGAGAGAAGTTAAGAGAGTGGTGAAGCAATGTAAAAAGAGAGCAAATGAGAGAGTGGGTGAGATGTTATCAACAAATTTTGTTGAAAATAAGAAAAAGTTTTGGAATGAGATTAACAAGTTAAGAAAGCCTAGAGAACAAATGGATTTGTCAGTTAAAAATAGGAGAGGAGAGTTATTAAATGGAGAGTTAGAGGTTTTGGGGAAGATGGAGGGAATATTTTAAAGGAAATTTGGGTTAAATGTTGATGAAGATAGGGAAGCTGTGATTTTCGTGTATAGGGCAAGGAGGAATAACATCTGTAGGAGTGAGGAAGAGCCAGTTGTGAGTTTTGGGGGAAGTTCGTGAGGCGTAGGTAAAATGAAAGGGGAAAGGGGCAGCCGGGATTGAGGGGATAAAGATAGAAATGTTAAAAGCAGGTGGGGAATAGTTTTGGGTGGTTGGTGCAATTATTTAATAAATGTATGGAAGAGGGTAAGGTACCTAGGGTTTGGGGCAGAGAGCATGCATAGTTCCTTTGTATAAAGGAAAAGGGGGACAAAGAGAGTGCAAAAATTATGGGGGGATAAGTCTGTTGAGTGTACCTGGTAAAGGTATGGTAGAGTTAATTGAAAGAATTAAGAGTAAGACGGAGAATAGGATAGCAGATGAACAAGGAGGCTTTGGGAAAGGTAGGGGGTGTGTGGACCAGGTGTTTACGTGAAACATATAAGTGAACATATTTAGATAAGGCTAAAAGAGGTCTTTGTGGCATTTATGGATTTGGAAAAGGGTATGACAGGGTGGATAGGGGGGCAATGTGGCAGATGTTGCAAGTGTATGGTGTAGGAGGTAGGTTACTGAAAGCAGTGAAGAGTTTTTACGAGGATAGTGAGGCTCAAATTAGAGTATGTAGGAAAGGGGAAATTATTTCCCGAAAAGTAGGCCTTAGACAAGGATGTGTGATGTCACCGTGGTTGTTTAATATATTTATAGATGGGGTTGTAAGAGAAGTAAATGCGAGGGTCTTGGCAAGAGGCATGGAGTTAAAGATAAAGAATCACACACAAAGTGGGGGTTGTCACAGCTGCTCTTTGCTGATGACACTGTGCTTTTGGGAGATTCTGAAGAGAAGTTGCAGAGATTTGGGGGATGAATTTGGTAGGGTGTGCAAAAGAAGAAAATTAAAGGTGAATACAGGAAAGAGTAAGGTTATGAGGATAAAAAAAGATTAGGTGATGAAAAATTGAATATCAGATTGGAGGGAGAGAGTATGGAGGAGGTTGAACGTATTCAGATATTTGGGAGTGGACGTGTCAGCGGATGGGTCTATGAAAGATGTGGTGAATCATAGAATTGATGAGGGAAAAAGAGTGAGTGGTGCACTTAGGAGTCTGTGGAGACAAAGAACTTTGTCCTTGGAGGCAAAAAGGGAAATGTAAAGAGAGTATAGTTTTACCAACGCTCTTATATGGGTGTGAACGTGGGTGATGAATGTTGCAGCGAGGAGAAGGCTGGAGGCAGTGGAGATGTCGTGTCTGAGGGCAATGTGTGGTGTGAATATAATGCAGAGAATTCGTAGTTTGGAAGTTAGGAGGAGGTGCGGGTTTAAACCAAAACTGTTGTCCAGAGGGCTGGGGAAGGGTTGTTGAGGTGGTTCGGACATGTAGGAGAGAATGGAGCGAAACAGAATGACTTCAAGAGTGTATCAGTCTGTAGTGGAAGGAAGGGGGGGTAGGGGTCGGCCTAGGAAGGGTTGGGGGAGGGGGTAAAGGAGGTTTTTTTGTGCGAGGGGCTTGGACTTCCAAGCAGGCATGCGTGAGCGTGTTTGATGGGAGTGAATGGAGACAAATGGTTTTTAATACTTGACGTGCTGTTGGAGTGTGAGCAAAGTAACATTTATGAAGGGATTCAGGGAAACCGGCAGGCCGGACTTGAGTCCTGGAGATGGGAAGTACAGTGCCTGCACTCTGAAGGAGGGGTGTTAATGTTGCAGTTTAAAAACTGTAGTGTAAAGCACCCTTCTGGCAAGACAGTGATGGAGTGAATGATGGTGAAAGTTTTTCTTTTTCGGGCCACCCTGCCTTGGTGGGAATCGGCCAGTGTGATAATAGATAATAATAGATGTACTTAATTTTTATGAATTTGAAAGTTGAGTAAAAATTATGCCCAACTTCATACTTGTGGGACAAAATGACAAGATAAGGCATTATCAAGTGCTTCAATTTTCTATTATTTTAGCCAAGCACTGTAGCATACAAAATAAAAGATTTGAAAATGAAGAAATTAATCCTTTTAGTACATTCATCACCTAACCATCTTCAAAATTTTCACTGAATGATCTCCCATCTCTACATTTCCAAAAAACAAAAGGGTAGACATTTGCCACATTTACATTTTCATTTATTGAACAAAAAAAAATACAGTGAAAATTAGAATTTATTGTCTCCAGCTTTAAAATTTTTTTTTAACCATTGGGGATATCATTTTAAGTTTTCTGATGAGGGGGAGGGGGGGGGGTCATTCTTAGAAAATATTAACGTTTTAAATGATCAGCCTTTCATCAACATTTTCTAACTTATGAAGAAATTAAAAGCATAAAAAATTATACACAAGGATTTTCATTAAAACAAAATTTCCAAAAATGGCTTTATTCCATAAGGATTAATAGTCTTTGGAATAGGCAGTGGTTGAACTGACATCAAATTTAAAAAGGATAGGGAGAAGAAGAGGTCTTGACATAGTGGAACAAGTCATTCCTGCTAAAATATTTTAAGGATTGAGATCCTTTAGAGAGTTTAGATTACATATATACATGTCTTTCTTATTGATATGTTTTCAATGTGGCCAAGGTTAACCTCAAGCAGAATAACCTATGCCTACAAAATACTGAAGTTCACAAAGACAAAACCCTTAATGTCATGCAGTAGTGACCAAAAGCTGTCAAGTTATAAAAATTCATGCACAACAGGTATATACAATGATTTTGTGCTCTTAGGGTAAAATAAAATCTTAATAAATAAAAGTTAGACATCTCTTTTTTACATAAAAAACACGACCTGTGTGCAAACGTCTCAGGTTTAACCTAGCATTTTAGAGTCGTGACAATGGTATGTCATGAACTTCACTTCATATATATATACTGTATTTCACTCATGGTTTGAAATATTCCCCTCCCCCAATGTACACTGTTCCCACAAGCACATGAAAAAAAACATACAAATTTATACACCACACACTTGCACACACAGCAACATTCATCTCAATTCTTTATTACCAGGGAAAATTCGGTCTAGGACTCAGCTGAGATACACCATGCCATCTGTAAAAGAAATTTAATTTTAACATGGCTGCAAAATCAAAGCAACATTTATTAAATTTAATTACCAAGGCTAGCAAAAATACTTCTAAGCATATATTTAGAATTTGTACTGCATACAGTACTTCTGAAATTAAAAAGATTAAGATGCACAAGAAGGGTATGTAAGTGAAGATTTCTTAGATATTAAGAAAAAAAGTGATTACCTCATTTACTAATCTTTCACCTATGCACATTAAAAAGAATGGAAAAGCAGCACATATGCATATTGCCTACAAGAAAGAACCAAAAATTAATAGAAACTACTACTACAAGACTTTAGGAAACTTGTCCTAACAAGTCTTGTTTATCAAGGACATTATCCTTCTAGGAAAATATGGGTAATGTATGAGAGTATAGTGGTACCAACACTGTGAAGCTTGGGTTGTGAATGTTACAGCGAGGAGGCTGGAGGCAGTGATGTGTGTGAGGGCAATGTGTGGTTTACATAATTGTGGGGTTACTAAATATCCAAAGGGCTGAAGAAGTGAGGTGTAGACTAAGAGGATGGAACAAAATAGGATGACTGGTGTATAAATCTGAAGAGGGAAGGCAGGGTAGGGGTTGCCCTAGGAATGGTAAACGTGTACAAGGGAGACACATCCAGTAGCCACGTTTGAGTTATGTAGAAAGTGGAGGCAAGTGGTTTTTACAACTTGACATGCTGTTGGAGTGTGAGCAAAGTAACATTTATAAAAGGATTCAAGGAAATCAGTTAGCTAGAAGAGTCCTGGAGGCACAAAGTAGTGCCTGTACTCTAGAGGAATGGAGATACTGCAGTTTGGAGGGGCATCTGAACTGTACTATCAACACTTCTGACAAGACAGATTCTAAGTTTCTTTTTCAGGTCACCCTACTCTGGTGGGAGACTGCTGGTGTTAAAAAATGAGCACCAAACTTACATATTGAGAAGTAGAGGTAAATTACTTGATAAACAGACCAAACAAGCTACCAAAAACCTGGTATTTCAGTAGAAGGTAACTTGGAAGATAGCACAATGCCAATATTTAACGAAGGTAATATGGAAGACCCTTTAAACTACAGGCCAGTTTCAATGACTGGTTTTAAAAACTGGAAAAAGCCATTTAAGTAGATAAAACAGGAATAAACAGATTGAATTCTGCATTTGGTCTCAAAATTCATGTACAGTACATCAAATTTAATATACTCAAAACAGTTGGGCAGACTGTATGTACAGAAAGTCACCAAGAGTTCCATATTAAGCACACCTACCATCTGACCGAGCTTAGTTCCGATCGACCAGTTGAAAGTCAAAAATAAACGCAAGTCGAACTTTACTAGTTAATATCAACATCACATTTTTGTAATATTTTTTTCTTTTATTTTGGTATTTCATTTACTTTACTTTTTATGCTGTTAATATTGTATTTTACACTAATGTTTAGGATAAACAGTGTACAACACAAACAGTTGTTTATTTCCCAGAAATTTGGCATACAAAACATTGTTGTAAGCCAAGTGGTCGTACGTCAAGCAGGTCGCAAGTCGGAATGTAAGTGTACATATTTAGAAACTTCAGATTAAAGACAATATTAAATAGGAAAAAATCAGAGATGTTATCAGTGGAGTCCTACAAGGCCTGTGCATTGTCTTTTTAACTGATGATTTGCTTGAAAATAAAAAATCTTTCTACAAATATAATTAAAATCAAAATCTGGATAAAACAAGTAAAAGGAGTGATAGGGATGATATTTCATGTTTTTAAATACCATGTACTTTTCTCCCCTGCAGCCAAATGGTTTCCCAGAGTCTAATCAAAACGCATCTTGCTCTTATTCTTATAGCATATCAGTTGAGAAGGTTTCACAGCTTGACATTACTGCAATGAGAACAAGATAGTGTAAAATAAACCCAGAGAGAAGCAAGGGCACAGTAATAGTGTGATGTAGTTCAACTGGGCTTGTGAGGTGTCTGGAGAGACCCAATTTTATGGTCACACCTTGCCTTGGCAAATGTCAGGTAGCCACGCCCACGTCTGAGGTCTTTTGTTCTTGACGGCGTCAGACCTCGGCGTCAGGTCATAACACGTGGTCCACACCCCCTTGTGGAGGGTGCTTGAACCACCATTTAAGCCCAAGGAACAGCATGATCGCGAGACTTCGAGCGGAGCTGCTGCTGTGTGCAGAGCTCTGAGCAGGAGATTTGACAGCAGCAGCTGCTGCTGCTGCTGCTGGGGTGCAGGGCTCAGGAGAAGGCTGCTGAAGTCTCTGGAGGACTGTTGGAGACATTGGGCAGAGTGCTGGCTTCGAGCAGTACTCGTGCTGTGTAGGTCTTGGGACCTGTGGTTTAGTTCCTGTGGTGAACTGTCCTCTGAACTATATTGCAAGTTATATTAATTTTCGTCAAGTTGGTTGTGTTCCCCGTCTCACTGCTTATATGTACCACCCCATTTATCTAAACCACAATAATGCACTCCTGTTCCCAAATACATGTATATTATTGTACAAGGACTTAATAAACTGAATAGAATAGTAATATTCACTGTCCCCATTACTTGCTCTTTTATTCATTATTTTATTTTAAGTAGTGAGAGGGTAAGAAGTGTGGTGGGTAGAGTAATGAGAGGAAGGTGTAGTCACCAGTGACCTCACATTATCTACCTCCACTAATCACTCATCTCTCCTACCACCTCGCCTGCCTACTCCCTCCCAGGTTACTCGCATATTCCTCAATTATTAAATCATCCAATACCCCCCTACATGACATGGTGTCTAAGCAGTGGTTATTATTTTTATAGTAGGAACCAGTCCCATGTGCCTTTTTTTTTTTGACTGCTCGGTTATACTTGTGTTATGCTACCATTTGCTACCATTTTTCTCTTGTGTGTGTAAGGCTTAAGTAAATATCTGATATTATAATCCTAGTGACCTTAGCCAACCCTTTTTTTTGACCATGGGTCTGAGTAATTGTATGGTTGCAATATTAAATTTGGGGGATCTGTGTGCTGGTCAAGATAAATGGTGGAAGTTTTGAGTGTTTGGGCGAGACTTTTGGGGAAAACAATTACTGGCCGAAATTGAATATTTACAGAGGAACGAGAAGTCACCCAGCCCGTCTTGGAAGACTCGCTCACAACTGTCACCTATTGAAGAGCTGCCTATGATTGCTATCCACCTGATGTGCCCAGTCACCCAGCTGATGTGCCCCAGTAGCTGTATTGCTGCCTTGGTCTGTCATCCATTGTAGTGGGTGTCTGCATCACCCAGCCTCTGTGACCATCACTAAGATGTGGCTGTCTGATGCTCTCTGCTTTGCTGAGGCTGTGCTGTGATGCTGTCTGCTATGTTGTGGCTGTGCTGTGATGCTGTCTGCTATGCTGTGGCCGTGCTATGATGCCAAGATGCTGTAGCCGTGCTACAATGCTGTGGCCGTGCTATGATGCTGGGGCAGTGCTGTGATGCTGAGAGTGCTGCGATGCTGTAGCCAAGCTGCGATGCTGTGGCCATGCTGTGATGCTGCCTAGCTCATATCCCCTGCCTACTGACTCCCTTATTCTCCAGTTATCTGTTATGTGCAATTACCCCCCCCCCTACATGACAATAGTAGATTTAAGTGACAAATCTGGTCCACACCTGTTATCAGAAAATACCAGAAATCTTGCTGGGACAAGTATTAGTTTTCAGGTATACCACTACCACTGCCAAGTGCAAGCTCACCCAGGCTGTGATAACTGTAGGCAAGCAAGCCAACAGCAATAACCTGGTTGAACAGAATCAACAGAAGTCTGGCCCCAGGCCAGGCTGCAAGGGGTTGAAAAAACACAGGAAAGGTCTGTGGAAACAACATTCTAGGAACAAAGGGAACCTATTACAGAGTAGTGCCTTACTTAGTGCAGTAGTTTAGATATGAAAGTAGCATTTCAGGTGAACTCCCCTCCCTCTTGCTTTTAGCCTTTATGAAAGGCTTATGAATACATGGGCCCCCAAGCATAAAAATAAAAATGTGCATTTACAAATGCTTTGCACAACATACAATTGCATATCTGCATACCAAAGGATTGTGAATTTTAAGGGAAAGTACAAGCAAGTAAAAAAAAATTTTTAGAAATTGAACAATAAATTAAGCTTACTACTATCACTTGAATTGTTAAACTTACTTTGAACTTTTGTACTTGTCTCTGATAGCATGTTGCTGTGGTTCATGGACTCTTGAAAAAGCCCGATATAAATTAACGTAACATTCTCTTAGGTCCTCAAGCGTGTATCCTGTAGATTCTGCCATATGAGAGGGCCAGGCAACACGACCCTAACAAAACAATGGAAATTTAATATAACATTAAAAAACCTACATACAAAGAACAAGAAGCGCTAATAAGGATCACTACTTTTAACTAAGACTTAATCAGTCATAACGTTACCTTACTGCTAGGCTTTATGATATTACATGGGCTCCAATGAAAGCCGGACTTTTTTTTTTTTTTTATTAACACATCGGCCATTTCCCTACCAAGGTAGGGTGGCCTGAAAAAACTCATCACTCGCTCCATCACTGTCTTGCTAGAAGCATGCTTACACTAGTTATAAAACTGCAACATTAACACCCCTCCTTCAGAGTGCCGGCACTGTACTTCCCATCTCCAGGAATCAAGTCCAGCATGCCAGTTTCCCTGAATCCCTTCATAAATGTTACCTTACTTACACTCCAACAGAATGTCAAGTCCTAAAAACCATTCATCTCCTTTCACTCCTATAACACGCTCACACATGCGTGCTGGAAGGCCAAGCCCATCGCACTCAAAACCTTTTACCCCCTCCCTCCAACATTTCCTAAGCCGACCCTTACCCTGCCCTTTCTCCACTACAGATTTATACACTCAAAGTCATTCTATTTCTTTCCATCCTCTCTACATGTCCAAACCATCTCATTAACCTTTCCTCAGCCCTCTGGATAATAGTTTTGGTAAGCCCACATCACCACCTCCTAAGTTCTGACCTACGGATTCCCTGCATTATATTCACACCACACACTGCCCTTAGACATGACATCTCCACTGCCTTGTTGCAAAATTCACAACCCATGCCTCACACCCATACAATAACATTGGTATAACTATACTCTCATACATTCTACTCTTTGCTTTCATGAATAAAGTTTTGTCTCCACAGTCCTCAGTGCACCACTCGCCTTTTTTCCCCCCCCGCTCATTAATTCTATGATTCACCTCATCCTTCTGCTGATTTCCAATCTTCTGTTACCTTCATTTTTTTTTTTTGTTACCCTCATCACTTTATTTTTTCCTATATTCACTTTTAATTTCCTTCTTTTACATACCCTACCAAACTCATCAACCAACCTCTGCAACTTCTCTTCAGAATCCCCCAAAAGCAGTGTCATCAGCAAACAGCAACTGTGACAACTCCCAGTTTGTGTTAGATTATCTTTTAACCCACACACCTCTTGCCAACACAAGCATTCACTTCTCTTACAACTACATCTATTAATATATTTAACAACCATGGTGAAATCACACATTCCTGTCTAAGGCCTACTTTTACTGGGAAATAATCTCCCTCTCGAATATACACTAACCTAAGCCTAACCATCCTCGTAAAAACTTTTCACTGCTTTTAATAACCTACCTCCTATTCCATACATCTGCAACATCTGCCATATTGCCCCCCTAACCACCTTATATGCCTCTTCCAAATCCATAAATGCCACAAATACCTCTTTACCCTTATCTAAAATACTGTTCACATATGTTTCACTGCAAACACTGTCTACACACCCCCTACCCTTCCTAATGCCTCCTTTTTCATCTGCTATCCTCTCAGTCTTACCCTTAATTCTTTCAATAATAACCACTGTACACTTTACCAGGTGGTATAAACCTTGGTAATAAATACCGACAAGTTGGTTTAGAAAGACACGCAAGCAAACACTGACATTTATTAGAAAACGTTTCGGTCCTGGGACCTTGATCAAGGTCCCAGGACCGAAACGTTTTCTAATAAATATGTCAAGTGTTTGCTTACGTGTCTTTCTAAACCAACTTTACCAGGTATACAAAACACACTTATTCCCCTATAATTTTTACACTTTTGTCCCCTTTGCCTTTATATGAAGGAACTATGCATGGTCTGCCAATCCCTAGGTACCTTACCCTCTTCCATACATTTATTAAATAAAAACACTAAACACTCCAAAACTATATCCCCCACCTGCCTTTAATATTTATCTTTATCCCATCAATCCCAGCTGCTTTACCCCCTTTCATTCTACTCACTGCCACACTCAGCTGGTTCTTCCTCACTCCTATAAGATGTTATTCCTCCTTAACCTATACAGAAAATCACAGCTTCCAAATCTTAAATCAACATTTAACAAATCCTCAAATATTCCCTCCATCTTCCTGATACTTCTAAGTCTCCATTTAATAGCTCTCCTCCCCTATTTTTAACTAAAATCCAGTCTTTCCCTAGGTTCTCAACTTATTAATCTCACTCCCCAGAAATTTTTTTTTTTTTAATTAACACATCGACCAATTCCCACCAAGGCAGAGTGGCCCGAAAAAAAAACTTTCATCATTCACTCCATCACTTTCTTGCCAGAGGGATGCTTAACACTAGTTATGAAACTGCAACATTAACATCCCTCCTTCAGAATGCAGACACTACTTCCCATCTCCAGGACTCAAGTCCGGCCTGCCGGTTTCCCTGAATCCCTTCATGTTATTTTGTTCACACTCCAACAGCACGTCAAGTATTAAAAATCATTTGCCTCTATTCACTCCTATCAAATACGCTCACACATGCTTGCTGGAAGTCCAAACCCATCTCACACAAAACCTCTTTTACCCCCCTCCCTCCAACCTTTCCTAAGCTGACCCCTACCCCGTCTTCCCTCCACTCCATATTTACACACTCTGGAAGTCATTCTGTTTTGTTCCATTCTCTCTACATGTCCAAACCACCTCAACAACACCTCAGCCCTCTGGATAACAATTTTGGTAATCCCACACCATCTACTTTCCAAGCTACGAATTCTCTGCATTATATTCACACCACACATTGCCCTCAGACACGACATCTCCACTGCCTCCAACCACCTTCTCATTGCAACATTCACAACCATGCTTCACACCCATATAGGAGTGTTGGTGTAACTACTCTCATACATTTCCCGCTTTGCTTCCATGGACAAAGTTTTGTCTCCACAGACTCCGAAGTGCACCACTCACCCTTTTCCCCTCATCAATTCTATGATTCACCTCCTCCTTCATAGACCTATCAGCTGACAAGTCCACTCCTAAAATTCTGAATACATTCACCTCTCTCACACACACACACACAAATACACACACACACACACACACACACACACACACAACACACAAACACACAAACACACAAACACACAAACACACAAACACACAAACACACAAACACACAAACACACAAACACACAAACACACAAACACACACAAATCTGATATCCAATCTTTTGTCACCTAATCATTTTGTTATCCTCATCACCTTGCTCTTTCCTGTATTCACTTTTAATTTTCTTCTTTAACTTTTTTTTTAACAAGTCGGCTGTCTCCCACCTTGGCAGGGTGACCCAAAAAGAAAAAAAATCCCCAAAAAGAAAATACTTCCATCATTCAACACTTGCCTCATTCACACAATCACTGTTTTTGCAGAGGTGCTCAGAATATAACAGTTTAGAAGCATATACATATAAAGATACACAACATATCCCTCCAAACTGACAATATCCCAAACCCCTCCTTTAAAGTTCAGGTACTGCACTTCCCATTTCCAGGACTCGCGTCCGGCTATATAAAAATAGCCGGTTTCCTGTATCCCTTCACTAAATATTACCCTACTCACTCCAACAGTTCGTCAAGTCCCAAATACCATTATTCTCCATTCATCCCTATCTAACACACACACGCTTGCTGGAAGTCCAAGCTCCTCTCCCATAAAACCTCCTTTACCCCCTCCCTCCAACCTTTTTGAGGATGACCCCTACCCCACCTTCCTTCCCCTACAGATTTATACACTTCACATCATTCTACTTTGATCCATTCTCTCTAAATGACCAAACCACCTCAACAACCCCTCTTCAGCCCTCTACTACTTTTATTAACTCCACACCTCCTAATTTCCACACTACGAACTTTCTGCATAATATTTACACCACACATTGCACTTAGACAGGACATCTCCACTGCCTCCAACTGCCTCCTCGCTGCAGCATTTACAACCCAAGCTTCACACCCATATAAAAGTGTTGGTACTACTGTACTATACTTTCATACATTCCCTTCTTTGTCTCCACAGGTAACGTTTTTTTTGTCTCCACACATACCTCAATGCACCACTCGCTTTTTTACCTTCATCAATTCTATGATTAACCTTATCCTTCATAAATCCATCTTTTACATACCCTACCAAATTCATCCACCAACCTCTGCAACTTCTTCAGAATCTCCCAAAAGCAGTGTCATCAGCAAAAATCATCTGACAACTACTTTGTCTTGCCAAGACCCTCACATTCACTTCTCTTACAATCCCATCTATAAATATATTGAACAGCCAGTGACATCACATACCCTTGTCTAAGGCCTACTTTTACTGGGAAATAATCTACCTCTCTCCTACATACTCTAACCTGAGCCTCACTATCCTCGTAAAAACTCTTTCACTGCTTTCAGTAACCTACCTCCTATATCATACACCTGCAACATCTGCCACATTGCCCCCCTATCCACCCTGTCATGCCTCTTCCAAATCCATAAATGCCACAAAAACCTCTTTAGCCTTATCTAAACACTGTTCACCTATACGTTTCACTGTAAACACTTTGTTTACACACCCCCTACCTTTCCTAAAGCCTCCTTGTTCATCTATTATCCTATTCTGTCTTACTCTGAATTCTTTCAATAATAACTCTACCACACACTTAACCAGGTATACTCAACAGACTTATTCCCCTATAATTTTTGCACTCTTATCCCCTTTGCCTTTATACAAAGGAACTATGCATGCTCTCTGCCAATCCCTAGGTACTTTACCTTCTTCCATATATTTATTAAATAATAGAACCAACCACTCCAAAACTATCCCCACCTGCTTTCAACATTTCTATCCTTATCCCATCAATCCCAGCTGCCTTACCCCCTTTCATTCTTCCCATTCTTCCCCACTCACAACTGGCTCTTCCGCACTCCTACAAAATGTTATTCCTCCTTACCCTATACACAAAATCACAGCTTCCCTATCTTCAACATTTAACAATTCCTCAAAATGTTCCTTCCATCTTGCCAATACCTCTAACTCTCCATTTAATAACTCTCCTCTATTTTTAACTGTCAAATCCATTTGTTCCCTAGGTTTCCTCAACTTATTAATCTCCCTCCAAAACTTTCTTATTTTCAAACAAAATTTGTTGATAACATCTCGCCCACTCTCACTTGCCCTTTTTACATTGCTTCACCACTCTTAAATCTCTCCTCTCCATATACTTTTCCCTCCTTGCATCACTTCTACTTTGTAAAAATCTCTCATATGCTAACTTTTTCTCCCTTACTACTATTTACATCATTCCACCAATCACTCTTCTTCCCTCCCACACCCACTGTCCTATAACCAGAAACTTCTGCTGAACATTAACACCATTCTTAAACTTACCCCATACATTTTTTATCCCCTCTGTAAACATGTACATCCTGAAGTCTACACAACAGTCTTATCTACCAATACATAGTCCAACAGTCATTTTGCCCTAAATCATATTTTATCTTATTTATCCTCTTAAAATATGTGTTACTTATAACCAAATCCCTTTCTATATAAAGTTCAATCAAATGCTCCCCAGTGGGTTATAGGTAAATTACACATGTTAAACTATGATAATTATACTTTTGTACCTAAACCTAAATAAACTTACCTGTGTGTGATTGGCTAAAGCAACAGCAGACGCAGCTATCATAGAAGGTAGAAACCTCAGGAAAGGATCACAGTCTAACATTGACACCTCTGCCAAGAACTGTAAATAAAAAGTAAACAAAATTAAATTAAAGGATTAAGGAAGTTTATTTAATTTTTAGGACATACAGTAGATTATCTAGTATGGTTAAGAGAGAATTTGAAGAACACTTATACTGAATTTGGATTGGCTGTCATCTATATGGTTTAATACAACATATTGAGAGAATTCAAGCAAGTTAACAATTTATACCAAATTCAATCCCACCTCTCACTTTGAAAGAATCAATGCATTTGATACAAGTCAGAATTATAGCAGACTAAAGATTTAAATTACTGATCAATCTGTTAAAATGATAAAACTACACACACTAAATGAAATGTATATTAACCCTTTGAGGGTCGACAGGCCCTCTCCGAGACTTGTTCTCAGGGTCGGCCAAATTTAATCCTTAAACGGTCCAAACAAATCGACGTTCAAATTTGTAGTGCTACAAAAGTAGATCTACTTTGTTTTTTACACGTCTTCAAATGTAAAACAAAAAAGACCTACATTTTTTTACATACTGTACTTTCAGTACTTTCAGTGGAGATGTCCTGTCTAAGGGCAATGTGTGGTGTAAATATTATGCAGAAAATTCGGAGTGTGGAAATTAGGAGAAGGTGTGGAGTTAATAAAAGCATTAGTCAGAGGGCAGAAGAGGAGTTGTTGAGGTGGTTTGGTCATTTAGAGAGAATGGATCAAAGTAGAATGACATGGAAAGCATATAAATCTATAGGGGAAGGAAAGAGGGGTAGGGGTCGTCCTCGAAAGGGTTGGAAAGAGGGGGTAAAGGAGGTTTTGTGGGTTAGGGGCTTGGACTTCCAGCAAGCATGCACGAGCGTGTTAGATAGGAGTGAATGGAGACGAATGATACTTGGGACCTGACGATCTGTTGGAGTGTGAGCAGGGTAATATTTAGTGAAGGGATTCAGGGAAACCGGTTATTTTCATATAGTCGGACTTGAGTCCTGGAAATGGGAAGTACAATGCCTGCACTTTAAAGGAGGGATTTGGGATATTGGCAGTTTGGAGGGATATGTTGTGTATCTCTATACGTATATGGTTCTAAACTGTTGTATTCTGAGCACCTCTGCAAAAGCAGTGATAATGTGTGAGTGTGGTGAAAGTGTTGAATGATGATGAAAGTATTTTCTTTTTGGGGATTTTCTTTCTTTTTTTTGGGTCACCCTGCCTCGGTGGGAGACGGCCGACTTGTTGAAAAAAAAAAAAAAAAAAAAAAACTTTCAGATGTTGAAAAAACGTATATACGTATACGTTTGGACCATTTAAGGGTTAAAAAAAATAATTTTATAAGATAGAGAATCTTTCCCGGATCATAAAGACACCAAAAGTATGAAATTTGATGGAAAACTTACGAAATTATGCTCTTGTGAAGTTCGCGGTCTCGACGATGTTTACACATCGGTGATTTTGCCCACTTTGAGCTCTATTTTTAGCCAATTCCAATGTACTAGTAGACAAAAATCATAACTACACCTACCATCCGACTTATGACCAAGTTCGGTTCCAATAAACCGGTCGTAAGTCGAAATGGTCGTAAGTCGAACTTTACTACTGAATATCAACAAAACATTTTTGTAATGACTTTTTTTATTTTATTTTATGTTTTACTTTACTTTTTATGTTGTTAGTACTGTATTTTATACTGTAAGGTTTAGGATAAACACTGTGTACAACACAAATAGTTGTTTATTTCCCAGAAATTTGGCATAAAAAACACTGTCGTAAGTCGAGTGGTCCTAAGTCAAGCAGGTCGCAAGTCGGATGGTAGGTGTATTTCACTAGAACTATTTTTTTGTATCGAAAGAGTACAAAAAACCACCCATTGGTGGTGGCTTGGTGGCTAACGCTCTCGCTTCACACGGCGAGGGTCTGGGTTCGATTCCCAGCCAGAGTAGAAACATTGGACGTGTTTCTTTCCACCTGTTGTCTATGTTCCCCATCAGTAAAATGGGTACCTGGGTGTTAGTCGACTGGTGTGGGTCGCATCCTGGGACACTGACCTAATTTGCCCGAAATGTGCCGAAATGCGGAGCATAACAAGGGACTTTCTATATAGTAGTACGTCATTGTTGTCAGCTAGGACTGTATACCTTGTACATGTACTTGTAGTAAATAAAGATATTATCCAATACAGTGGTCAGAATTTAGCAATTTTGCCAATTTCACACAAATTTCAAAAGATGCCAATTTCCGAATAGGGTCCAGAATAAACAAGACATTCCTGGCACTAAAATAAGTTCTGTTCGCTAGTCACATCCTCGGGCCCCTGTTATATTTCTTTGGCTTTCCACTTTGAATTTTTATTCTTACAAAAAAATAGAAGATTTACCGTTATGCAGACTACTGCATTTGTGCAGAAATGGTATAAATAATATCAGCGCACTTGTGAAAGAATATTAGACTCACCAGTTGACGTATATTGGACGCTTGGCATGATTTGTTTACTTTTGAACTTTGGTAAAAATCGAACACTTCTGCTACTTTGATTTTCAAATT